CTTTTGAGGGAACCCCTGGGACCCTAAGACTGGTCTATAGCATGATGTCTTTGGGGAGACCCATTCCTGAAATTGAGTAATGGAGGATTTACTAAGAAAGCTTTAGAGCGCAGGCCATTCGGAGGTTAGAGATGGCGTTTCTGCCCAGGTCTCTGAGCAGTTCCTTTCTGGCAGTTGCGCGTGTGGAGTTTTAAATAGGAGGAACTCTTAGGGGAACTCAGTTGAGATAGAAATAGCAGGGGAAACATCTGGGGTATCCTGTTCTCTCAGGGTCAGAGCTTCAGGGTGAAATGTGAGAATCTGGTGTATTGTTCTGTTAGCTCAGAGGTTAGAACTCCAAATTAATCTCAAACTAATCTCTTGCCCATTGATATGCTTGTTTTTGTTTTCTTCTTCAACTCATTTTGGTAAAACTTACTGAACGGTTGCCTCCTTAAATACCTAGACCAGTGGTCGACAAACTGCGGCTCGGCAAACCGCGGCTCGCGAGCCACACGTGGCTCTTTGGCCCCTTGAGTGTGGCTCTTCCACAAAATACTGACTTCTGCGCATGGGCCACAAAGTTTCAATCGCACTGTACATGCGCGCCCGCACCTGGTATTTTGTGGAAGAGCCACACTAAAGGGGTCAGAGAGCCGCATGTGGCTCGCAAGCCGCGGTTTGCCGACCACCGACCTAGACTCATCTGACAGCCATGCAGGCTCCAGGGAGGGTTTGGGAAAGCCATGCGGCCTCACCTCGTAAACTTGGAGGTGCCTACACGCCGACCCAGGCTGGGGAGGCCCTGGAAGTGTGTTCTGCGATACGTGGACAAGGCTGGTCACGGCAGCATCACTTATAATTAGCAAATGTCTGTTAGCAAGATTGCACGAACAGGTTTGTAGAAGAGCCATAGAGCAGAGCATTAAATACCGCTCAGCATGCACATCAATGTAGATTAACCATCCAACCAGATACACGTCAGAGAGAATGCATGTAGTATATTACATTCCTCTGAAGCTAAAGACAAATGAAGTAATACTGTGTATCAGTAGAGGCATAAATGGCACAACTATAAAGAAAAGCAAGCAGCTCTGGCCAGTTTGGCTCAGTGGAAAGAGCGCCGGCCTGTGGACTGAAGGGTCTGGTCAAGGGCACATGCCCGGGTTGCAGGCTCGATCCCCAGTAGGGGGTGTGCAGGAGGCAGCCGATCAATGATTCTCTCTCATCATTGATGTTTCTGTCTCTCTCTCCCTCTCCCTTTCTTTCTGAAATCCATAAAAATATATTAACCAAAAAAAACAAGCAAATGGTTGTTCTGAAAGTCAGCCTGGGGTTATGTCTGGAGCTGGAGGTGGGTACCATGAGGGGGTGTGGAGAAGGCTGCTGGGGTACTGGCAGTGTTCTGGTCCTGAAATAGGATGCTGGTTTCAGACATGCGCATGTCATACACACACCGCTCCTTCGTGCAGGCCAGCCACGTTCCCTTCTAAGTCTCTTTTGCTTGGGCTGTCGTTTAGTAGCTGAGAGAATTAGAAAAATTGATTTAAAAGCCTTCTTATTTTACCATAAAGTGAATCATTGAATTTCTAAAGCCACCAGGGCTCTTAGAAGTTATTTACTATAATAGCACCCACCTGTCCTCCTGTTTTGAGCTGCTGCCATTGCAGAGGGACTGATATCATGCTGTGAGCTTCCACAGGACCATCTGGGCTTGTTGTCACAGAAACGAAGAAGGAAGACAGTGTGGTTTAAAAAACTTATTTGCGAATGAATTCTGCCTTCACCAGAGTGGGCTGAGGGTGTGGCGACTTGGAACCCTGTATGTACAAAGGCCAGCATCTTTTTATTTTAATCCTCATTCGAGTATATTTTTTCCATTGCTTTTTTAGAGAGAGTGTAAGGGGGAGGAGGGTAGAGACATTGAGACGTTGATGTGAGAGAGACACATAGATTGGTTGCCTCCAGCAGGATCCCCGACCAGACCGGGGATCAAACCTGCGACCTAGGTGTGTACCCTTGACCTGGAATTGAACCTACGACCCTTTGGTGCATGGGCCAACTCTCTAACTACTGACCAACACCGGCCAGGGCATAGCCAGCATCTTTTTGAACATTTCAGTGTGTACCACATGTCTAGTCAGAGTAGGAAAATCCTGTTTGCTCTTGTTCATCTATTAAAATGAGAGATGATCGTTTATTAAAGACAGCGACTGAATGAGAGATGAGGATGGAGGACCGTGTGGGCTGTCTGTGCCTTCTGGCCTCGGGCCTGAGCCAGGTAGCGCCATAGCGGCAGAGTGTGACCTCCTCCTGGAGTTACACTTCCTGGACACAGGGTACGTGCAGGTGGAGGGCCTGGCCCCGGAGCCAGCTGCCCTTTTCCCTCCGGGCAGCAAACCAGCCCGTCCTGGCATCTCCACCAGATCCTGGGGTCAAGAGCAAGCTCCAGTCCTGGCTGGGAACGCGGCCAGGAATATTGTGGCTGAAATGCCTTGCCCTGTCCCTCAGGGCAGGAGGAGCGGATTCTTACACCAGTGGACAGGCTGCTGACAACGGAGGGGCGCGAGGTGGAAAGATGTCAGGAAGGGAGCCCTTCTGAGGTTATCGAAGGTTCTGTTGCCACCATTTTAGTGAGAAGAGGTGGGATCTCTTCCAAAAAGATACGTTCCCTTCAGGTGGCTTTTGGCTTCTCCGTGTCATTTCAAATTAACTGTATTCTGATCTGCCCCTTCCCTGGGTGGGAACGGGCCAGCAGGGCCTGGTGCTCAGGTGCGGGTGGGTGCCCTGGGCGAGTGTGACAGGGCTGGGGATACACTGTAGGGCCTCTCAGGCAGACGAGTGTTCTGATTTCTGAAGAGAAGTCTTTAGTTCCTTAAATTATTTATAGTCAGTCCCGGGAGAAGGAAGTTGCCAAGGTTAATCTGCCATGACTGTGCTGATTTTTAAAAGTATTTTTTGTGGCCTTTGACAATGACTGCATGTCTCAGTTATATTCTTTTTTTTTTTCCGAGTCAAAATGCATCTCCTTGTAGAATGCAGTAATTGCAGGTAAATGGGCAAAATCTCCCCACATGCATCTATTAAAGCCCTTATCAAATGCATGCATCTGAGAATAAACTGCTTCCTCAGATGGCAGCAGTAATAATCGTTCCTGTTCTAGGTGCTGTTTATTAGTCAGTTCTGAGAGGTGAGGGTATTGGGATCCCATTTCACAGATGAGGAAACCAAGGTGCCTGGAGCCGCTGTTTATTAGTCAGTTCTGAGAGGTGAGGGTATTCCCATTTCACAGATGAGGAAACCAAGGTGCCTGGAGCTTCAGTGCCCACCCATGGTTTCCCGGCCGGGAGGGCCCCGCCCTGGCTCCGCGCAGACACCCTTGTACCTGGACGGAGAGTTTGATTTGAGTTGGGGCACTATCGCTTGCGGGTGGTGTCTGTATAAGGTATTGCTGGTGGAAGTGAGGTATGAATTTCGGTCCTCACCTCTGTGTCTGTGCCCCGTCTCTCTGGAAGGAGCGTGTCTGTAACTGGGTCATCTCCTGCATGTCCTAAGCACCTGGGTGACAGGTGAATTTAGGTCTGTGTTCAGGTACTTCAGAGGTCCTGCAGGTGGGGGAGCTGGAGAATGAGGCCCCACACCTTATTTTGCATGTTCTCATTGCAATGCATTTGTGTTTGTTTGTATACTGAGCTAAGGGGGGGGGGTGTTCCCTGGGATTCCTAGTAGATAAGATACTGATGTAGCAATTAGGGCAGTGGTCCTCAAACTTTTTAAACAGGGGGCCAGTTCACTGTCCCTCAGACCTTTGGAGGGCCGGACTATAGTTTAAAAAAAAAAACTATGAACAAATTCCTATGCACACTGCACATATCTTATTTTGAAGTAAAAAAACAAAACGGGAACAAATGCAATATTTGTATTTGCATGTGGCCCGCGGGCCGTAGTTTGAGGACCCCTGAATTAGGGGATGGGAAAAAGGGAAACAGATTCCCCATCGTCCAAAAAATATAGCCATGGGTCTCAGGCACTCAGCGTGGGTGCAGCAGGGCAAGTTTGCAGAAGCCAACCCGTGAAGAGTGTGATCTCGGCCCTCCTGCCCCTCTCCCTTCCTCCTCCCCGGGTTATTTATTGCAGGGACCCCAGAGCAAGCAGGAGGCCTTGTGACCTCAGCACAGGCCCAGGTGACACGGTCACCCCAGCCCCTGGCACCAGCGGTGTTCCAGCTGGGATGGTGCGTTTTGTGGGCACACAGTTGGAGCTGCTTCCCCTGCTGTGAGGGTCACAGCCTTGCCTGAGCACTTGTGGCACGTGCCCCTGAGCCCTGCTGGCCTCTGCTCCTTGAGCTCCCGCTTTGACCTTGAGTTAAGGGAGGAGACCCTGCAGCTGGTCATCTCTTCAAGGTCAGCAGGTCCCCATGAGTGGCTTCCTTCCCAGCTGGCTCCCCTGCCCCTCCCAGAGGGTTCCTGCCCTCCAGGGCACTTCTGTCCTCTTTACCTTGTGAATTTGCATCTTCTTCTGTTCATCAATGAATATGCATAAAAATACCAAGAATGTGATGAGTCAGTTCACATTAAATCAATTTTTATGTTGAAATTTGTTTTCCCATCAGTATATCTAAGTTATTTGGCTTAATAAATACCTTTATAACCAGAATTTAAAAATCTACTTCTCTGTGTGTGCAGAAGGGAATTTGAGGTGAGATGAGAGGTAGAGAGAATGGAAATGAACTTCTTTTTGTTTTTCACATTAGCAGATGCATTACTTTTCTCAACCCTTTTTGTAGTTTTCTTAAATTTCTTATTAGGAATTCAATAGGAAGGTAAGCAATAGCGCCCTTTTCGCTAGAATATTTTTCCCCTGCAGGAAATGAGGGTAAGGCAGGACACCAGTAACCCGAGTTGGCAGCAACAAAGGCAGCTGCTTAAACCTTAACTGCCAGCCATGAAGTCCTAAAGGCTGAGGTTGCCCTCATTGGTGTAATCTTAAACCAGGTCACATTACCTGCGGCCAAAGTCGGGCTGGCCCTTCTCCCAGCAGCACGGCCTCAGAGCTTGTTATGCCAAACAGAGAATCTGGAAGAGAACTTCAGCGGAAACTGTACGTTGCCCTCAGAATTCAGCCCCAAACAAACCGGTTACGAAGCCCCACTTTGTGTGTGTGTGTGTGTGTGTGTGTGTGTGGGGTGGGTGGGGGGGGGGGGGGGGGGGGGGGGGGGGCGTCCTTACTAGGGTTGGCAGAATTGCTCCTCTGAGGATCTGAGTCCTGTTCCAGGCTCTGTCTCCTGTGGGTCAGTACACACCTGAAGGACAGGACTGAGCTTGCTCCTGCTTGTGTCCCCAGGCATCGGATGTGTCACAGTGTATTTCAGATGTATTCCTGGTTTATCAGAAAACCAGGGAGAAGAAAATTGTCAAAGCAAAGTAGGTTAGCTGAACAACAGGCAGAGCAGCTATATGTAAGCTCTCAAGTGGGTTTCTAATGATTAAAACATCACAGTGTTAATCTTTGAACACATTATTTATATTATTATTCACTTCTGTGCTTTGTGGCTCTAACCTCTACAGCCAGGGTTTTCAGCCCTTTCAAAATGGTCTGGAACACGTCAAGGACTGAGTTCAAGGACTTAGCTTTAGTGCCAGTGATTGATACAAAATTGCAATGCAAAGGTAACAATTATTTTTAATCCTCACCCAAGGAGATGTTTTTATTTTTGAGAGAGAGAGAGAGAGAGAGAGAGAGAGAGAGAGAGAGAGAGACCCCTTCCTCCAGGAGCTCAACTGTTGGGGGAGGGTACTGATGTGTATTTAGGTAATTACTGTGCTGTGGGATAAGGATTTGATTTGGGTGCCTAGGGAGTGAGGATGAGGGATCTGATCCAGTAGTGGGAGTGTCACAGAAGGGGTGGGTCTTGTCAGACTTTCAGGAGGAGCTGTGAAGGTGAAGAGTGTGTGAATGTGAGTGTGCACACATGCATGTTGGGAGGTTAGGGTGTGTGTGTGTTAGTGTGCACACATGCATGTTGGGAGGTTAGGGTGTGTGTGTGTGTGTTAGTGTGCGCACATGCATGTTGGGAGGGAAGGGTGTGTGTGTTAGTGTGCACACATGCATGTTGGGAGGTTAGGGTGTGTGTGTGTTAGTGTGCGCACATGCATGTTGGGAGGTTAGGGTGTGTGTGTTAGTGTGCACACATGCATGTTGGGAGATGTGTGTGTGTGTGTGTGTTAGTGTGTGCACATGCATGTTGGGAGGTGAGGATGTGTTTTAGGGCTGTGGGAAAGCAGTGTGTGTGTAAGTTCAGTGGTGAGCAAGGGCGTGTTACCTGCGGGTGATTGGAATTCCTGGTATGGGTGTGGGGAGAGGGTAATGAGAGGGAACTAGTGAGGACGCAGAGGTAAGCAGGGGTCAGTTCATGAGGGACTCTGTGCCAGGTCAGGGAGTTTGGGCTTTATTTGAAGAATGTTAGGGGAGTCAGCTGATGGGAATGTATGTGTAGGGGAGTAGCTGAATGGATCAGAGGGAGCTCTGAATGAGCATCCGTTAGGAGATTGCTGGAGCAACCCACGCAGGGGAGGTGCTGGCCAGAGGCAGGCAGACATGGCATGCCAGCTACATCATAGAGCATCAGGGAGGAGCCGGCTCCTGGTTTGGCCATGGGGTGGATGGTGTGCAGGGCCAGGTGCTGCGCCGGGACACACACAGTGGGGAGTGGGTTGGGGGACATGGGTGCACGCAGGGTTAGACACGTAGGTGGAGTTGGCTATACCGTAGGATGCAGGTGCCCTCTTCTTCGCGATGTCTCTTTTTTCTGGTGATGACAGTCAAGACCCACCGTAATCGTCCCCGCCCCACAGATTTTGTCTTCTAGGACATAGCCTCCTATTCTGATCCCTCTGGCCCTGGTTTTTCGGTCCCAAGTGCCGGTACCACAGAACTGACCATTGCGCCTTTGTTGCTTTCCCAAATAGAATGAGTTCAGCAAGGGCCCTAGGTTATATTTTATGTTCATGCCACCCGATGCAGGGCAAGTCCCTGTACATAGAAAGGCGTTTTACTGTCATTAATTTTTACTTCTGGTCTGTACTTGAAAACCTTTCTGCACTTATATAATAATGAAAAAGTATTTATCTAAAGGAAAGGAGGTATAATATAGCTTCACTTTACAGAATATGACTGTGATCTGCATTAAATTACATGTGGACATTAGAATTTCTTTTCCTATTTGCTAGAGGACAAGGGTGCCAGCATGTATGAAATGTTGGGTGTAATGATGAAACAAGGTTTCTTTTAGCAGGGAAGCTTGGTTGATTTGCTAGCAATCAGATCAGACCATATGGTTGTATTAGTTGTATCCCTGTGGTTCATTTGATACAAATTTAGTTTCTAAACAGCTTTCCTGAGAAGCTGCTCCTTATGTAAAGCTGAATCTTCTTTGGAATAGGTCAGCATCAGCACCATAAGTATGCATGCGTGCGTGTGTGCGTGTGTGCGTGCGTGTGTGTGTGTGTGTGTGTGTGTAGCTTAAGATGGGGTTACTGGGGTCCCAGAGTGTGTGTGTGTGTGTGTGTG